ATTCACATTTACAGTGTGAATGTTCCGTGATGTGAATATTCACACCGTCAATGTGAATATTCACATTATAAAATATGAATGTTCACATCACTAAATTGCTAACCATTCAAAAAATATTTGTAAGGATAGAAATGTCCATAAAGTACTTTAAATATGAGAATTAGGATTTGGTAGATCAAATGTTCAAATAATAGGACTTATTGGAATAGAAGAATATCTTATGGACTAATTGGGATACAAACACTTGAAAAATGATTTTCTAATAAATATCCCATAAAATTAATTGATAAAATATTTTTAGAATGCATAATGCTATTAAGTTTTGTTTATGAGTAATTTAAATTAAGTAGAAGTCTTTTAAATATTAAATTTTAGAAAGAATTTTGGAAAGGGTATATTGATCTAGAATTTTAATTAAAAAAAAAAAGAAGAGAGATGTGCTACATAGGAGAGAGAAAAAAAAGTTTAAGGTAAATAGTATTTTTTATTTATTTATTTTGATAATCTTAGACCTATCATTTTATAAAAAATCTTATTTAAATCAACAGATATAATAATTTTAAGAAAAATTATTTATGTATATTTTAATAATATTAGCTCTATCGTACTATAAAATATAAATTAAATAAATATATATAATAATTTTAAATTATATTAAATTATAACACAAAAAAAGAAATATTGATTTGATAATTTGAACCTTTCGCGCTACAAAAATGTAACTTAAATAAAGATATATAATAAATTTATATGATATTAAATTATAACTTGATATTAGAAATAATTATTATAAGATTAAAAGTGATTCTAATTATTTAAAAAAAAACCTTTCGTGTTATAAAAAATGTAACTTAAATAAATATATATAATAAATTTATATGATATTAAATTATAACTTGATATTAGAAATAATTGATATAAAATTAAAAGTGATTCTAATTGATGACACTACTAGTCCCTGAGGAATGGGTCGGGCTGATCCAAGCTTCCCACGCCGTCGTCCGATCACTGGGCCCACTAAGAAACCTGCATAAGAGTCCAACGGGGAACGAGAGTCTCCCAACGAACCCTCCGACGAGCAAGTTAAAGAAGAGAGATCAACGGAATATAGAGATAGGATGATGATAAATAATTTAACTTTCTCTTTGTCTTAGAAACCTGTTTATATCCTTTGTTTATCATTTCATTGTACACTCCGACCTGTCATGTTGGCCGAAAGTTTACGTTCTAGCCTGCCTTGTTCATGGTGAGGCTGTTCTATTCCGACGTGAAGGGGTTATCGCATTAAATGCTGCAGGGAACCTCATTAATGGCTAATGTGTGGTGTAATAACTCTACGAGATCTTTGTCTGCTTATGTGGCTGGTTCTTCTCTTGACATGTGTTTAGATGTCATTGGTCCTTAGTGCAACGTTGGGCTCTAGTAATGTTGGGTTTTAGTGTTTGAATTATATATTAAGCTCTAAGTAGTGGGCCAAAAGCCCCTATAGGCCCACCTATGTCACTAATTATTTAAGAAATTCTATATAATTAATATTATAAATAAGATAGACATAAAAATAAGAAATAATTTTAATATTTTATTTAAAAAAAGGTGAAAAAGTATAATAAAATTAATTGGTAAAGTATGTATAATTCTATTAGGTTTTGTTTATGAGTAATTTAGATTAAATAAAAGTCTTTTAAATATTAAATTTTATAAATAATTTTGGTAAAAAGATATATTGATGTGGCATTTCAATAAAAAATGAAAACATGAGAGATGTGCCATAGAGGAGAGAGAAAAATTGAAAGCAAACACTATTTTTAATAATATATATGATAAGGGTAAAAGAAAATAGTGTATCTAAAGCGAAGTAGAGTTACAATAGCAACTTCCTAACTTATTTGTTAAAAATAGCTAATTAATGATGTTTGGTTGTATTTTAAAATATATTTAACTTGATTTTTTTTACTTATTTGTACTAAAAAAGTGAGATTTTTTAAAGTATCTGTAATTTTTTTCAATTTATTTGGAACTCTTAAATATGTATAGACATACAAATTTCATCTTTTTTTTGTCATAGTTATAAATTTTAAGGTTAGTTGTAACTTTTTTATAATGTTTTATTTTAGAAATTTTTTAATATACATCACTTTAAAAAGAATGTGTTATATACACTTTTAATTATATCATTTTCTTCTTTAATTATAATATTATTTTAATTATGACGCATAAATTTTTTAGTTATGTCTTATGTTGTGTTTAATTATAATATATATGTATATATTTTTTTAGTTATGACTCAAAAAATTAAAATTAAAATTAAATTATTCTTTTCTAATTATAAATAGTGTTTCACTTTATTTTATTGTAATATTTTCTTTTTATCCACCTATGATAAACTCCATGAACCTAAATTTAGAATTGAACTTTAAAAAGCCAACTCTAACATGTATCTAGGCATCCATTAATGAGACATATAATATTGAAACTTCATATCAACTTGGTATCATATATAATATTAAAAATGTGAATTTTTTCTAAATTTAAATTTAAATTTTTGAACGTGAGTTGCCTATGAAACTTATTACGACTCTCGTTTCAATGATTAAAATCATTTATTTATAGGGTTTTTCATATATATCATATATGTAAAAAATTAGATCGATCTAATAATTATAATATTTTTATTTTATCGTATTTATATTCAAATGAATAAATTATTTATTTTTTAAAACATAATTATTGTCTTTTTTTTTGAAAATAAAATCAATAAAATGAAAAAACTATAATTATCACATTGATGTAAAATTTTTTCATAAATTATATACATAAATAATTTTTTAAAATAAATTTTAAATTATTAAAATAAGACTCCTAATAAATCTAATAAACCCCTCAGACCTAAATTGAGAGAAATCATGTCTAGTAGAATTAGGCATGTTCGAAAATTGAATTTTAAATATTTTACGAAAAATATATGTAAATAAAATAGAGAAAATAATTGGAAATGGGATAGCTGTTGTGCCTCTGGCATATCACTCACTATTGTGGGCCGATATGGACCCATTTTGGAGTCCGTTATAACAGTTTGAATGGTTCATGTTTTAAAATATATCAAGTATAATATATTTATAAAAAATAAAATTGATCGAATATTAAATAGAATATATTTATATTTACAAAAATAAATGATAAATATGATTTGATAAATTGTTCAATTAATTTAATTTTTTACAAATATATTTAACTTAATGTATTTTAAAAAATAAACAATTTAATTTATCAAAACAACTTCCGAAATAAACCTGCACAGTAACTGATGTGCCGAACGTACCACAACCACTCCATTTCCGAGTAAAATAGTCAAAAAAATAAAATAAAAAAAATCACCACAGGTTGTATCCAAACACGGCCTATAATAATTAGGAGTTGTTTGGAATGACCTAAATAAGTGTATTTTTTGTCTTTTTACAAAAAGATGTGCAGAAAAATAGAGAGATGATGTGATAAAAAAAGATAAAAAGATGAATTATTTTGGATATGCCAAACTTGGCCTTAAGATCAACCAATTGGCCTTAGGCGGGCAGATGAATATCTTTAATTAATTAAGGACAACTTTTGAAATTTATTTAAAATACAAATTACCTCTTGTGATTTGAAAAATTAGCTGTTGTGCCTCTGGCATATCACTCACTATTGTGGGCCGATATGGACCCATTTTGGAGTCCGTTATAATAGTTTGAATCGTTTATGTTTTAAAATATATCAAGTATAATATATTTATAAAAAATAAAATTGATCGAATATTAAATAGAATATATTTATATTTACAAAAATAAATGATAAATATGATTTGATAAATTGTTCAATTAATTTAATTTTTTACAAATATATTTAACTTAATGTATTTTAAAAAATAAACAATTTAATTTATCAAAACAACTTCCGAAATAAACCTGCACAGTAACTGATGTGCCGAACGTACCACAACCACTCCATTTCCGAGTAAAATAGTCAAAAAAATAAAATAAAAAAAATCACCACAGGTTGTATCCAAACGCGGCCTATAATAATTAGGAGTTGTTTGGAATGACCTAAATAAGTGTACTTTTTGTCTTTTTACAAAAAGATATGCAGAAAAATAGAGAGGTGATGTGATAAAAAAGATAAAGAGATGAATTATTTTGGATATGCCAAACTTGGCCTTAAGATCAACCAATTGGCCTTAGGCGGGCAGATGAATATCTTTAATTAATTAAGGACAACTTTTGAAATTTATTTAAAATACAAATTACCTCTTGTGATTTGAAAAATTATAAATATATTTTTATCAAAATTTTTTATTTAACAGAATTAATTAAAAAAGTGAAATTTTTAATTGTTCATCGATACAATAATAAAATTATCTGAATTATTAATTCAAATAAAATTTTAAGATTATTAAAAATTATTAATTAATTTGATAATTTATTAATAAAAAGATCCATTTGTTATGAAATTAGAAATTTTAAGTGACTAATGTAATAAAAAATGCTAGATATCTTAAAAGTTTTACCAAAATTTCTACTAAAGATCACATAGGTGTAGGACTCATATGGTGTAGATCTCACACTCATGTGAAACATTTGATAGAAATTTTGATAAATTTTTTAAAATTTCTAACACTATTTTAATATAATTTCTAAAACCACAAAAATAATTTATAATTTAAGCCTTCGTTTGAAAAGTGGATTAGTTTTTTGACTTTTTTAGCGATTTTAACCTGGGACTAAAAAGTTTAGTTTGGAAAGGACTTTTGACTTTTTAAACTTTTTTATAAGAGAAAAAATTGTAATGATTAAAGATTAAATGTGATATTTTGTCTTATTAAACTAAAAAACTTATTTTATTTTTTGTGATTAAAAAAGTCAAAAAAAAAAAAAAAAAAAAAAGCCCCAAAACCAAGGCTTCCCAAACGAAGCCTAAGTGAATTTCGGAGATCTGTTTGTCATTTATCCATTAATTAATTAATCGACCTTCACATCATGCCCCTACTGAGCTCTATCTCTCTCTCTCCTCTCTGTGCAACTGTTCAAAGCAAGCAAGTCAAGCCATCCATGGCAAACCTCTCAAAAAACCTCCTCTTCTCTCTCCTCTTCATCTCTCTCCTCTCTCTCCTCCTATTTCTCCTCCCTCCTCCTCCCTCCTCCCACCACCACCACCACCACCACTTCTCTCTCCCCTCCTCCACCAGCACCTTCCCTCCTCCGCCCAAAATCGCCTACTTCATCTCCGGCACCGACAACGACGGAGGTCGAATTTTTCGACTCCTCAAAGCCATTTACCACCCTAGAAACCACTACCTCTTGCATCTCGACCGTCGATCGTCCAAGGATCAGAGGGATGAGCTCGCTCGGATGGTGGCTTCGGTCCCTGTGTTCGTTGATGCGGACAATGTGAATGTGATTGAGAGAGCCAATTCGGTTAGAGAGGAAGGGCCTTCGAGCCTCGCTTTGGTGCTTCACGGTGCGGCCATTTTGTTGAGGTCTAGGAGAGATTGGGACTGGTTTGTTAATCTCGATGCCTCTGATTACCCTCTCATTTCTCAGGACGGTACGTACGTTTCACCTCTTCCATTATATATGCCTTGGATTGTTCAACTTGCTACTTTACACTATTTAGATTGTTTTGATTTAACCTAGATATGATCAGTGTGTACTAGTTGAGCTGAAAAATGGGTAATTTATTTTAGGGTAAATTACATCGATAGCCTTGGAGGTTTAGTCCAATTACTACCACTCTGACCTTTTGAAAATTACATTCCCACCCTCCGGTTAATGGTTTCATTTCATAAACTTCCCTTATATAAAAGTTAACAGCTCCTGCTAGAAAAACAGAGGTAATTACATAAATAAATAAAAAAAAGGTAAAGGAAAGGAAAAAAAGAAAAGAATAGAAAGTAAAGCAAAGCAAAAAAAAGAGAGTGTGCATGAGTTCAATGTCTTTATTCTGTCTAAATAATTACAATGACAGGGGGTTAGTGTAATTTTTTAAACCTCAGGGTTGATATGTATTAAATCCAAATCTCAGGAGATGTAAGTGTAATTTACCTTTTATTTTATAGTTCATGTTCAGTGCTCAATGTAAAATTAGGTTTTTTTTTTTTTGAATATTGTTGGAGCCTTAGAAGAGATCACTCAAGGAATTTACACTATGTTTGGATTGAGTGATTTGGAGAGAAAAGAAAAGAAATGAAATAGAGAGGTCTCTTATTTGTTTGGATAACTTAAGTAGAGTTTTGTAAATATGATTTGAGAGTATGAGTTGTATTTTGAGTTTGTGAGTTGTGAAATTATGATTTGAGTGTAGAAAATTTGTTTGGTTATGGTTTTTGAATAGAGGGTTGAATTGAGTTTTAAAAGTTTTATTTGACATGTGAAGTAAGAAAATTTATTTGGTTATGAGTTTTAGAAAGAGTTTTCAAAATTTAATTCAAATTGTTATAAGTCATAACAAAACACATTACTTTCACACTATTGAAAATTCTGATCAACACTCATAACCAAACTCTTTTTAAAATTTAATTAAAATTTTTTATTATTGATAGAAAACAACATTAATCAATTTTTTAATTGAAAATACTACAAAGGAAATAATTTTTTTTCAAAATAAATATTCAAAAAATTTAAATCATAAATATTTAAATAATTTAAATAATATGAAATGAGAAAATTTGCTTGGTTATGAGTTTTGAAAAGATTTTTGAATTGAGTTTTTAATTTTTGATGTGACATATGAAATGAGAAAATTTGCTTGGTTATGAATTTTGAAAAGAATTTTGAATTGATTTTTGAATTTTTGATATGACATATGAAATGAGAAAATTTGTTTAGTTATTAGTTTTGAAAAGAGATTTCAAAACTTAATTGAAAAACTTATAACTCATAACTAAACACATAACTCAAAACTCCATACTATTTTCACAACTCTACACTCAAATCGTAACCAAATACATAACAACAAAATTAAAATATTTAAAAATATTTTTATAAAATAGAATTTGAATTTATTTTTTAAAATATTTTAAATTTTAAAAAATTTAAATCGTAATATTTTGAAATTAAAATATTTAAAAATATTCAAAAAATTAAAAAATTAAAAAAATCGTAACATATTTAAATATTTAAAATCTTAACAAAATTAAAATATTTTTAAAATATTGATTTGAATGGAGTTTTGAAAAGAGTTTTGAATTATGTGTTTGGTTATGAGTTTTGAAAAGTAATGATTATGTTTTGAATTGAGTTTTGAAAAATAGGTGTAGAAATATGATTTGGAAATTCAAAACAAACAATACACTCAAATCAATGGGTGAAACTATGATTCGAAACTCTTACCAAACGGAGCCTTATTTCTCTTATAACTCTCATTTTTAATCTTCCCAAAAGTAGAGAGATTGGAAGAAAAAAGAAATCAATATTTTCATAATATCAATATTGTTCTTGTAAAAATAAAAGAAATAAAATGATTGAAAATATAAAAATGTTATTTTGGTAATATTACATAAAATAATTGCTTTTTTTTTTCTCTTATGAAATCTAACCAAATAAGAAGGAGAAAAATCGTAATCATTTCTTACTTATCTAAATAAGAAGGAGAAAAATCACAATCATTTTTTTCTTTTCTTTTCTTTTCTCTTCTCTTATAACTTAAGTAATCCTTTCTTTTCTTTTCTCTCATAGATTCCCAAACATGGTGTTAGTATAATAGTGCTTGTAATTAAAAGATTTAGGCCATCTTCCCTTATCAAGTGCGGTTTGTCCCAACCAAGGTTTTAAAAAGCGGCCACAACCGTTACGTAATGCCGTTATGTAACAGTTTTGGCGGTTACCGTCACCCGTTACGGCCGCTTTTGTAATGTGATTGAGATTCACAGGTGTGTCGGCCGTAGCGGCTACCGTAGCGGTCGTAATGGTGCCGTAACAGCTGTAACGGCCTGTTATGCACCGTTACGTAACGGTTCCAAACTGTTTCTTTCAAAAAAACACACAAAAAAAAGTTGAAAATGGGGGAAGAGGGATAGAGAGAAGAGGGAAGATAAAGAGAGAAAATGGAGGAGTAAGAGATAGAGAGAGAGAAGAGGGAAGATGAAAAACATGTTATTGATTTGTTGAAACTGTAAGACCCATGCTAGTCTATTCAGCTGCTATCACTAAACCATTTTGTTTGTGTGTCTATCTATATATTGTTTGAAAATAATAATAATAATAATAATAATAAGTGTGATCATTATCTATTTGGCTTGGTTAAAATATGTGTATATATATATATATATATATAATTAGGCTCTTATTTATTCTCATACTTTTGTCATTGTTTATCTTATATATAATAGTTAGTGATTGATTTTTTGTATAATATAAAGTCTTTAATTATTAAAATAAAATGTAAAAAACTCAGTTTATAGTGATTTAAAAATATGAAATATATTGGATCATACTTAAAAATTTACAAAAATGGATCAATATTTATTTTTAACCTAATAAATATGATCATGGCAAAAAAATATGTGTATCGGTAAGTTTTTTTCAAATTGTGCGAAAAATAAAAAAATTCACGGTTCCAGTTACCGCAACTATTACACTACGGCCTTTACATCCCGCAACCGCAACCGTGTTACCGCCACCGTTACGGCGACCGCAATCGCTTTTCAGAACCTTGCCCAACGGTAAGGCTCGGCCTTGGTGACACTTGTTTGAATCACAGAACCAACCGTGTCAGAAATGGAGTAAGGCTGTGTACATCTTGTCTTTTCCAGATCGTGCTTTAGTGGCAGTCTTGCTTTGGGTCACCCTTTTAGTCCATCTTTTGATTATGGGCTTGTTGCAAAAGTTGGGAAAAGGGGAACAAACCAAGCTGGGTAATTTAAAATTAGGCACAAAAAAGGAAAAAAAAAAAGAGCATCTTGCCCATGGGACCAACCAACTTTTGTTTATTCTGAATGCTGATATGGTGTCAACATCAGACACCCATTAGGTCACCAAACATGGGACTATCTTTCAAAAATTAAATAATTGGCACCTTTCATGTAAACACTAAAGTGAGGGGGAAAAGCTTTATGTGGTAGGTGTTGCAAACCACACTTTAATATACCTTATCTTATCTGTTTCTTAAAATTAATACATTTGTATGTTCCTTGGTGTATTCCAAAATGTCTTTGCATTTGAAAGGTAAATGCATTCTCGACCGTGAGATAATTACAACCATCAACAAAGGATTGTGAGAATTTGTGCATTTAATTGTTCAAACACACATAAGTTCCATTAAACCAACTCTCTTATGTAAATGAATGAATGAGTGCTTGCTTGTCTTCTATTGATAAGGTCCTATCAGATTCCCAATGTGTGGGATGGAATTCCCAGCAGAGTTTATTTCAAGATTTCAAGAACTTGCGATCGTAAATGATTTTATGTGCAAATTTTTCAAGAGAACCATCTCTAGAAATTTGATCAAAGTCAACTGTCCAGTATGTGTTCATAGCTTATAGTTTTCCTGCTGCCTTGAAAATAATCAATTATGAAACTTGGAGAAAAATAAGTGAAAACTTTGCTGAAGGATTTAGAAAGAGTTCTATTCACTGTCCAAAACATATCCAACAGAGAGATTCATTTACTGTTCTTTTATAAACGTCCTTAAAATGTATCCAAGGACATATCCGAAGAACCAAATAAGCAACTATAGCAGCAATAAATGAGCTTAATCTGGTTGGCCCTTTTAGATTAGTATTACTTTAGGTTGTATTGGAACACTCATCCCGAAATTTGCTAGCAGAAAAGAGATGTGAAGACAGGAACCAAACACCTTGCTTGGTTTCAATTTTTGAGCTAAAATTTTTTGGAAGTTGATTTTTTTTGCTTTTCATGTTTTTTTTTTTTTGTTTTTGGTGAATTTTTTTAATATTTTAAGCAATTTTTTTAAATTTTTAGACGCACTTAACCCAGATGTACCTAAAAAGTAAAATATTTATAAAAAAAATATTTAAAAAAATCAACAAATACACAACAATACTAAAATGTATTGGATTTTTGTATTTTTTTTTTGTATTTTCGGTATTTAATGAATTTTTAAATGTTTTTTTCCACAAATATTATACTTTTTAAGTGTATTTATGTTAGGTGTATTTAAAAACTAAATTTTTTTCTTAAAATATTAAAAAAATTCAGTGAAAACAAAAAAACACGGAAAACAAAAAGCTCAATTTTCTGAAAAGCGGAATCAAAATTCTGAAACCAAAAAGTTATTATGCAAGTAGTATAATCATCTCCTCCACAATTGCCAACTCTACTGTTAAAACTGGAACCTGTGTTCCAACTTTTAAATGAAACAAGGCATTCAAGTTCATACTAGGCTTGCCTTGTTAAGAAGTTTATTTGAGTTTATTCAAGGGATTAATGAGCCAATCTCTCAAGAATATGTTTTGAAACCTGATTCCTGAATAAGCCAAACTTGACAATCACAAACAAAAGTTTTTTGAGCTTTTGAACAATTAGTATTGGTGTCCTGCAGTTATAATGATATTATCCCTCGTTAATTGTAATTACAAGAACAACTTCTGAAGCAACCATTGTTAAATAAATGAGTTATCATGAACAATTACAGTGTCCTTTGACACAGAAAAGAAAAGAAATTAGGAGCACTAGACTTTTTCACACAGAAATTATTGTTTACTGTGCTACTCAAGAAACTTGATTTGACTTGGGAAGAAGGGTTTTGAGTTTGGAAAATAAGAAATAGAGGGCTGGTGAAGTACATGCTAGTTGAGCTTGACTCAAACATCATGCTCATATTGAGTTTGATAAAATATCTATCGAAGTTTTTAACTGCTTAATATTCTGATTTATTACAGCCCTTAACTCCAACCAACACCCCTTTAAAACCGTGATATCTATCAATGCCAGTGCATCTGACCACCTTTCTGCTCCACCTCTGTTTTTGCCACAATTGTTGCTAGCATGCTACTAGTACTACTACATCACTACGTGACCAAAAGTCTCATGGAAAACTTACAAGGCCTTTAGTAGGTAACACATCATTTGTGCATTTCTATGCGGCCATGTTTTGCACTTCATGTTTTATCATGGATTTTTTTTTTTTTTGGTGGGAGAAACCATCAATTCATGTAGCAACTTGTGCAGGTATTCCCCTTTGAAACATCTTATTTGTCTGTCACATGCTAGTTCTTTTTTTCTTGTTCTGTATATATATGACCCTTTTTAGAGGTGCACACTATAGATTTTTTCATATATATATATATATATTATTCTTTACCTGTTTGGGGGTTAATATATTTCATTACTAATCTATTTACAGATTTTCTTCACGTCCTGTCCTTTGCACCAAGGGATTTTAACTTCATAGAGCATACGAGTAATACTAGCTGGAAGGAGTGAGTACTATCATTTATCTAGGACTTGTTTAAACATTTTTAGCTGCCCATGATTGGGATGTAGATGCAGATTATAAGCTTGAATTCTGTGTCCAGGTATCAAAGAATTATGGAGGTTATTGTTGATCCTGGCCTATATCTCGCATCAAAAGGCAGAATGTTCACTGGCAACAAAAAACGCACCCTGCCCAATGCGTACAGATTTTTCACCGGTACATTACTTGTAATTATTACTTTGTTAGCTTTAAGATTTTGATGACACATTTACCAAGCATGAGAAAGTACTTGTAATTTGGGTTAAACTATCTCAAACTTGCTTCTTGTAGGAAGAAATTAACTGCATGCACATGACCTAAATTTATTTTACCAAGCATAAGAAATTACTTGTTATTTAGGCAAAACTATCTCAAACATCCTTCTTGTAGGAAGATATTAACAGCATGCACATAACCTGAATCCGTCCCAAATTTCTTGGTTGGTGAATCTTTTGATATGAGACCGTTACAGGCTTTTTTGTTATGTACAAAAGTCATTAGCTTGTGTTTGTGATCTTTGACTGCCTTATTATTTTGTAGACAAACTTTTATTCCACTCTATGTTGACATGGAATCGGGTATGGTGGTCAGATGCGGGTATGAGTAAGTGTTTGAATCATCTAATTCCATATCAAAGGATATGGAGATACGGAAAAATATTCATGTTACTTTATATTTTTTGTCTATTTTCTTGTGTGAAATGGTGTTCACAAGGTTTTATAGAGCATTTCATGAAAATTTTGGAATCTTTACATATAATTTTATGGTAAAACTTAAATTACTTAAATGTGTTTGTTAGGTGAATTTCTAACTACACATTTCAAACACATATCCCATACACTTGACACTTGGTGCCGACACATGGTTACTTAGTGGAGCCACATAATGATCAGAGGGGGCAGTTGTCCCTCCTCAAATTGTAAAATCCTACTACTCCATTTTGTTTCTTTCCGTCAACAATAAAATTTAATCACAGACCCACCTTGCCCTTGTAAATAAATTAACCACTGCATTATAGCGGTTATCTTAATAGTTTTCTAAAGATTACTCATCTTTCTTTTGTCTTCCTCGTCTCCCATTTGTGGAGTACCATAAAATATATCTGTTATTTATTTACTGCATTCTTAATCAGTATTCCCATTATTTCATTAGGTTCTCCACACGTGATTTTGAGCCGGAAGCTCGTTGAGTTTGCCATCCTTGGATGGGACAACCTACCGAGAAAACTCCTATTGTTTTTCTCCAACACTAAATACTCACAACGGGACTACTTTCAGACGCTTGCTTGCAATTCCAAAGACTTTTCCAAAACAGTTGTCAACTCCAACTTGCGCTTTACTGTATATGAAGATGATCCTCCAGACCTAAGCGTAACTGATTTGGAAAAGATGTTGAGCAGTGGAGCTGCATTTGCTGGGAATTTCCGTGCAAACAATCCAGTTTTGGACAAGATTGATTCTCTCGTGCTTCATAGGACTGCGGGTATGATATTACCAGGAGGTTGGTGTTTGGGTGGGCGAGGAAGGGGCCGAGACCCTTGTCAGCTTTGGGGTGACATGAGTATTTTAAGACCGGGTCCAGCATCTAAGAAATTTGAGAAGCTTCTTTTGAGTTTAATGTCGAACATTACTTTCCATTCAAACCAATGTGTTCGCTAAGGGTTGTAATTTGTTTCCATTTCTGTACCACGTTGATAATATCGGCTAGATTATATATAATTAGGTAGTGTGTTTGGTTTGTTAGGTATTGATTTAGCGTTTGAGAAGTTTTTTTTTAGTGGCATTTTAGTTTTTTTTTTTTAATCTAAAATATGAGGTGGAAAAAAATGAAGTGCTTGAGAATCATTTTTTTTTAAAGGTTTTTTTTATTGAAATATGTATTTTTTTGACAATTTTAATGAAAATAGACACATGATTTAAACTGAAAATAAATTAAAAAATTGAGATGGAAATTGATAGAATTAAAAATTAAAAATTCATTGTAATTTTTTGGGTAAATTATAAATGCATGCCTTGAAAATATGGATTTTTTTTTTTGTAGTTTGAAAAATTACAAATATTATTTTATAAAAAATTTTTATTTAGCAAAACTATTAGAAAAATGAAGTTTTTAACTGTTATTCTATACAATAATAAAATTATTTGAATTATTAATTATAATAAATATATGATATTATTAAAAATTGTTAATAAAAAATTTTAGGGAGTGGGATATAATTTCTATAGTCATAGAGGACAAATCATATTTTAGACAAACAACAATGCTTCATACACCCAGTGGGGGTGGCACCCCAGTGACGTGGCGCGCCCCCACTGGTCGGAAATCAAAAAAAAAAAAAAAAAAAATTATTTTTTTCCTTCCAAACCCTTTTGTACTTTTTTTTTATAAAATAAATTGAAAATAAAAATGAAAATATTAGAAGACAGAACACTTTTAGGGCTTTTTGGTTGTTGATTGTAATTTGTAGTTTGTTTTTTGTGCTCATTTCGGATATGATTAGCCTTACAGTTCAGACTCTCGTAGTTCTGAATCTATTTTCACAAGTGTAATGTGAAATAGATAAACACAAATGAATCTAAATCTAGCAAATCTTTTGAAAAATCGATATTTGAATCAAATACTAAAAATAGACTGCTTTGTCAGATTACAGAGTCTGCATCTAAATATTTTTGAAAAATTTAAGAAAATCGTGATTTGTGTCAAATGTCACTTATCCATCATCACCAAAGTGTCTTGGCTCGAGAACTTAGGTATGAGAGGGGAAGGTCATGAATTGAGCACCCTCCTCACCCGATCAAAGATCGGCCTCTACTAATCATGATGTGATTTTTATTTACATTATATGCTCTTGTTCCGATTTATTAGCCAACATTACTGAGTGATGCACACAAGTATAGACTAATTTACAAAAGTTGGAACAATTTGATTTTTTGTTTGTTTGAAAATTATTTTTGATATTTGTCACTTGCACATGTGTGTTCATACATTAATAAATGTATCCCAATTTTAGCAATTAGCCTTCATCCACCGGCATTTAAACAAATATATCATTTAATCACTTAGCCTCATGGAAAACATGCTTGATACGGTAACATAAACATACAATGTGATATGCTAAAATACAAAATGCTCATCTAATACTCCAAGACAAGCCAAACAAAGCAAAATAATTAGCAAACATGCATTCTCTTAAACAATGCAATATGACTAATGTGATGCACACATTATGTAATTTTTAATAGGCTCGGCTATGAGCATGGTATGTGATTCAATTCAAAACATATGATAAATCACGTTTTCAAATAATGAAATTGAAATTGACATTGGTTAGTATGATGAGCCGAATCCAAATGCATGTGAGACGAGTGTATGTGAACACGAGAATGCTAAGTAAATATGATACTCTATGCTACCATCATAAGGAGGTAAATAAAAGGGAGAAAAAAATGGGAGTTGGAAGACATACACCATCATTACATATTTGCCCTCATACAAAAGGGTCCAAATGAATGTTCAAATGTCCGGATTAATAGCTAAGTATTACAAATTCAAATGAATGAATTAAATAACTAACTAGCTAAGTTAATTAACTACTTATTACAAATTCAAGGAACACTAAATTAACTACCTAATTTATTACAACAAAAATATTATATCAATACGAATTACACGACAATAATATCCAATGCAATTGCAACAAAAATTAATATTTACAACAACAACAATAATTACAATAATAAGATAATAATACGAATATAAGTAACAATGAGGCACAATGATTGCATGCAGTGTCTAGAAGCTACTCTGTTTGCCCAGACTGCTCTACCTCACCCTCAGTCATTGCCTTCTGTTTCTGCAAAAAACTCACTACTTGCCAAACATTGGGGGCCGGCCGGCCCCAAATGAGCTCTGGCCAGGCCAAAAAAGTGCCGACCGACTCTAAATTTTATGCCAAAAAATATTTTGTGCTTTAAGGTGAGAACAGACAGAGCCTTTCTAGGCCTTGTTTGTCTCTTCTACCCTTCTCTGTCATGGGAAACTCAAGAAAAGAGCAAGTTTGAGTTTGAAATCACTAACAATCACAATTTGATGGCTTGATGATTTTGAACATGTTTGGACAAAATTGAATAAATGCAATGGAAAACCACCCCTCCCTTTTATCATGAAGGCTCAAAGAGGGAAGTAGACACGCTCTAAGTCTCATCAACATATCATGGATTAATACATGACAATTCTCGGAAAGATGGACTTGGCATAATGTTCGGCCGAATCCAACCAATTCTAAACATTTTCTTTATATCAGTTTCATTGATTTTAGGCTAATTTTGTTAGTTTTTGACATTCTTTAATCAATTTGTCCAAAGTGATGGTTAAGTCCACTAAATGGGAAGAATCATCAAACGAGAAGTGATCCATAGCATGAAAGAGAGACTATACATTGACGATGAATTTCCGTGGAGATTAAGCCATTGAGGATATTTCTCATGCCTTGAACAATAAGCACTTATTTGAAATAGCTCTCGAGCAAAAGAAAAGAAGAAATGAGGGAGGATGCAAAAATGATTATGCAAAGTTGATTATTTAAAATGAAACTCTTCGCATGAAAACTAAGTAAATAAAGCTATTAACTCAAATGACTCAGTGTGTAAGGCCTAAACAACCGAAGCCGTAAGGACTTTCAACACAACAAGTATGATATTCAAAGCACAAACTATTTAAATGAATTAAACAGCCCATAACAACCCCTAAAATGTAAAAAAAAAAAACAATAGCTAAAGGCAAGAGAAAGTAAGAAAAAGAGTAGAGAAAAAGCTATGGAACAAAACCTAAGGAGAGGTGACTAACCGCTCTACTTTTTTGCAATTTTAAATCACATATTTTAGCCCCAAAATAGTTCAAGAACAGTCCCAAAACAGTGGCTAAAAGTATGTTTAAAGAGCACAAAAAGATAGACAAAAGCAAGAGATATAAAGCTATTAAGCAAAATCAAGGAAAGGTGGCTAATCCCTCCACTTTTAAGACTTTTAAACCATATTTTTCAGCCTTTTTAAACTCTGAAAATCAGTGTAAAAAACAAAGAAAAAAGTGCAAGAACATAGGGTACGAGCTATGAAATAAGGTGCAAGAAAGGGTGTTAAACCATTTTACCTATGGTAATTATTTAACCCCTAATTCCAACACTTAGAATAGATCCAAAACAGTAGGAAAATACAAGAAAAAGATTGAAATGAAAGCAAGGAAAAATGTGCCAAGCTTATACCTCTTGAAGAGAGCAAGCTTTGGTTGTTGATCAAACTTGATTCCAAATACCCTCAAATTTATGAAATATGGTTTGAAACTCTAGCAAAAAGCTTCAAGAACAAGCTTTAATCGTGTATGTATTGTGTATGTATAGCTAAAGAAGGTTTGAAGGTCAAAGAAGGACGGAAGATGGAAGAAGGTCTTTTTAGCTTTTCAAAGCTTTTGGAAAATTTTGCTATCCCCCAATTCTGAATGCAGGAGTTCTATTTATAGAATTTGAGCCAATTTGGTCAAAAATATTTTCAAACAAAACCAGCTGTCCAGTTCCCGCCAACTGTTTGTTTGGTGCTATTGAGAGCCAACCGGCCCCCAATACATACGGCCGGACCCAAAAATGCAAGGCCAGGTCTAAAAAGGCATTCTGGACAAATTTTCATTGAAAGTCGGCCGGCTCTAAATGAGCCACGGCCGAATCTAAATGGACCTGGCCGGCTTAAAAAATCTGCATTTCAGGCCTGACTTTAAACATGCATGGCATATCTCCCTTATTCAGATTTGGTTTTAGGTGATTCTTGAGTCTAAATTGAAGCACTGGAAGCCTAATTTCCAATGGTGGTAGCCTCACATCTAAAGTATAAGTGTGCAAAGAGATATGCCTAATTTAATGAAGGCTGCTCATTCTTTCTCAACGGTTTGATGCTTAACTTCTTCCTAAACTAGTTTTTTTCCCCTCCCCTCCTATTTCCTTCAACTCCAAACCTATAAATAAAATGTTTTTAAATATTTTTAAAAGAGTTCATCTCCCTTCTATTTTTTCCACTTTGGCCTTACTCGGTTTACCGAAAAGTGTAATGTTTTAAACGAAATGCCAGCCTCATCGTAAAAGCATTTGAAAAAATATTTTGAAAGGAAGGTTTTAAGGTCTAAAATAATTTGGCCAAAATGGGGTATAAGGTTTGGGATTAGAGCTTGAATCCAAATTTCTTTGCTTAGAATTCAAAAGATTACATAGTGTTACTTTCATCATCGGGTGTTTGAAAAAAAATACCCAAGTTTTAAGGGTGGTCAAAAATGAGATGTCTACAATGATGTATGAATTGGGTTTCTCAATAGCAGCCCAAATAAGTTGAAAATTACTATTACTTCGACTTAGGCCCAACAAGGTCGTCATTTAGCATTCGTGTATTACCTTCATTTCGAAACCCTAACTCGTCTGCTGCACCAAACCTTTCTTCTCCCTCACTACCTTTCCTTCTTCTCAAGGTACGTTTCTCTCTCTCTCTAGTTTGAAATTGCGATTTGGTCTGACAATGTTCGTTTTTGTTTGAATTTGATATGGCTTGTTTGATTTCGGTTGGGTTAACAATGGCTCCTAAAGGTATGTTGATGCAAATAACTCTTTGTTTTTTTATTTTTAAATCTCAGGATAGGCATGTAATTAGGTTTTAGTTAGGGGGTATGTATACATATATGTGTGTGTGTGTGTTTGTTATTGGATAGTGGGTGATTGGGGTTTCATAAGCTTGAGTGGGTTCTAATTTCAATTCAATGAAGCTATTGAGCATGCCTTAATTCATTTTCTATT